ACCTTTACATGGCCGTCTCGGTCGAGGCTGTTAGTGCGACACTTATCTGTGAGACCCTCAAAAGACAAAAGGCAATATACTTTATGAGCAAGGCCCTGCAGGGCCCAGAAACAAGATACCAACAAATAGAGAAGGTCGCCTTAACCCTTATCAATGCGGCGAGGAGGCTGAAACACTACCACATGGCACACACGATCATCGTACGAATAGATCAGCCCGTGAAATAACTACTCGGTCATCCAGACATGGCCGATATGATGCTTAAATGGTCGCTAGAATTGTTAGAGTTCGATATCTGATAGGAGAGAAGGAAGGCCCTTAAAACCTAAGTCATGGCTAACTTCGTGGCTGAGATGACTGTCCCCACATCCCCGAAGAGAAGAGCCCGCAAGTGGACTATTTTTGTGGATGGGGCATCCAACTCGACAGGGAGCGGGGCTGGTATCATTCTCTAGAACTAGGATGTCATAATAATCGAGGTCTTCCTTGCTCTGTCCTTCCCGATGTCAAACAACCAAGCCGAATATGAAGCTTTTCTCGCGGGACTACGACTGGCTGATGATTTAGGCGCGCATGAAGTAAAAATATTGACGAATTCTTGGCTCATCACCTCCCAAATACGAGGAGATTATCAAGCCAAAAACGAAAACCTCATCGAGTACTTACCTCTGGTGAAGGAAAAAATAAAACAGTTCACTTCCGTAAAAGTCATGCATGTCCCTCACGAGCACCATACCCAAGCGGATATCCTGTCGAAGCTTGCGAGCACAAGGAAAAAGGGTGGAAATAAACCATTCATCCAAGAAAAACTACCTCGCCCGAGCATCAAAAAATCTTTTATGGCACTCGACATAAATGCCATCGGGGACCACGACTGCTAGATGACCCTGATGTATCGCTACCTCCCGACAAGAAAGTGGCCAACACAACTAAGCCAAGAGCCTGCTCGTACGTCTTAATCGAGGACAAGCTTTATAGATGGGGATTCTCCACCACACTCTTAAAATGCATCGACGAGACCAAAATCCCCCATATTCTATAGGAGATCCATAAGGGAATCAATGGCCAACACATGGGAGGAAGATCCCTGGATCAGAAAGTTCTTCGAGTAGGATATTACTGGCTTACCGTGCAGCACGACATGAAGGTACATGTAAAGAAATGTGATAAGTTCCAACTCCATGCAGATATGCACTTGGCGCCACCCAACGAGCTCAAGACACCATCATCCGTGTGGCCCTTCGCCTGGTGGGAAATGGACATCCTTGGTCCTTTCACCAGGGATCATACCAGAATAAGTATTTAATTATCGTTGTCGACTACTTCACAAAGTGGATAGAGGCCGAAGCCCTCATCAAAATCATGACGCAAAATATATTACGTTTCTACAAGAGAAACATGCTTTCCCGTTTTGGCATACCCCAATCGCTCGTCACCGACAACAGGATGCAGTTCACTGACAAAAATTTCCAAGACTTTATTACCAAAATCGATACCAAGAAACACTTCACGTCTGTCGAGCATCCTCAAACGAATGGGCAGGACGAGGCTGCAAACAGAGTGATCCCGAAAGGACTTAAACGCCGGCTGAGTGCGGCCAAGAATAAGTGGGTCGAGGAGCTACGCAGCATACTCTGGGCCTACAGAACAACACCACACTTGACCACGGGGGAAACTCCTTTCCTACTAGCATACAAAATCGAGGTGGTGATCCTAGTGGAAATCAAAGAGCCATCCAGGAGAAATGAATCTCCCCTCTACGAGGTAATGAATGATGAGGCCTTGATAAAGGAGCTCGACCTGGTCGAAAAAATTCGAGCAGGAGCAACTGTTGTAACCGGAAAAAAATACAAGAGTCGCCACCACTACTTCTTCTCCTAAGGACGAGAAAATAACAGAATAACCCTAATTTTCAAATATTTCTAGGTTCACGAGTTGGTTAAATAAAGGGCATGTGTTAGACACTTTTTACCGTCCTTGTACTCAAGGGGACCCTTTTTAGGTTTAGGACTTAATGAGAATATTTCTATTCAAATGTTATTACCATTAAAACAACCGATTGAAAATCATCAAACAATGAAGTCTCCATCGAATGTATTTTATCCCACATGAAGGGAAAGGTGGATATCGAGGAAACGTGAGAAGGGAGAAGTCACGGTCTTGCGACTGAGAGATTGGGTAAGGGAGCCTGCTACACGAGGGGAAGGTATTAACACCCCACACACCCGTAGTACTCTATGATATCCACTCTTGTTATCTATCTTATGGGCGTGTTAAATATATGCTTACTGCTTACTACTGAGGAAGAATGCATACAAAAGAAAAGAGAAAATAATGTAGGGAAACTAAAGTTTTGCTCGCTTGGGCCCCACCCCAATGCCTACGTATCCTTTTTGAGGAATTAGAGTTTCCGTAGTTCGTCTCAAATATTTTTGTTTATTTTGTGTTTTTTATGAACAATTTTAATTCAGCCTTCTGCCGCAGCTCGACCTTTGGAGACTCACGCATTGACACAGAAGTAAATTAATCATGTCCTTACTGAAAATGGTTTTGAGTTACGCCCTCAAGGAAAGATGCCACATTTGATTGGTTTGTGTTTTGTTACCTTAAAAAAGGGGTTTAAGTGTGATTAGAGAGTGTTTTATTATTTTCCAAGAAAAACAAATTTTTAGTTTTAAATTCAAATGCAAAAAGGGGAAATAAGAGTCTAAGGGAGACTAGCTTATTTCTTATCCTAATGTTATCATACAATGGTGGTCCTAAGGTTTGGATTAACAAAAGGGAAACGTCTACCTATTGTTAGCATGCATGATTTGAAACCTAAGGTCTAACTTGCATCCTAAAGGAACAAGTATCCTAAGAGAACATGGTATGTACAAGGATAAAAAACAAACAAGCTCGAAAAAGCACACACATGCCACGAGTAGCACACACTAACTCGGGTAAAGGCCTTACCAAGATATAGAAGATCGAGGTAGACAATAGAAGACAACATGAACAATCGCGGAGTGTTAGCATTGGTCAGTGTGAACTCTTGACAAAACGTGGGGGTTTGATTGTAAAACCCTTCCCCACTTGACATACTCGATACATGTAATCTTGGGAACATGTTCGGAGCTCGGAACTTGCAAAAAGTGAGCATAGGAACGACACAGACGAAAACTGGAGGGGGTTGGTTTCTAACCCTTTCCACTTGCCTTCCCATGAGGACTTAGGAATGGTTTCCATTAAAGGACCTAAAACCATCATCCCTCTATACAAGCACAAACATAAACATATGTTCATAATTTTAAACAACCACAATTAACATACATAACACACACAATGCGGAATTTCCCTAAACATGTCTTTAAGTAAACCATAGGGATTCCTGACAGGATCAACAACAGAGATCCCCTTTATACATCTCTACCCTACTTCTCATGGCATCGAAAAGCAATAAATTTCCTACTTCTCATGATCTCTAGAAAAGCGGTAAAGAAATGCGATAAAGTGCGGGAAAATACAAAAGTAGTAACGACGACTACCAAAGAGAGCAAATCGTCAAAAGAGGACAAAAGCCATAGAGAAGCAAGGAGTACGCATCAAGAAATCTTCATCAAGAAACACACAAAGTCAGAAATGATATCCAACTAATATAAAAGCAAATGCGTGTTGCGAATGCAACGCGTAATCAGAAGTTCCTGCACAAAGTCTCACAAAACATCACATGTATCGGGACAACATATAATATGATATGAATTTCTCAGGAAGGTGATAAATAAGGCGTGTCGCATCGGAAGAGAGCATAAGCCATATGCTTCGATCACATAACAACTTGTTATGTTACATGATCGAAAGCATAAAAAATGTACCTTGCACAACGAACAAACGCATCAAAAATTAACATGGCAAAGCGGCATGAAAATATGGGTAAAAAAGTATTTTTTATTTATTTATTAGTTTTTATGTGAAGAGAATTTCTAAAAAAAACTAAATAATTAATTCCTAAAAATTGCTAGTATATTTTACTATTATTATATTGATTTTATCATATGCAAAAACCTATCAAAACTATAGAATTAGTTCCTAAAAATCGACTAAAAACTAACAAATTTTATTGATCTTATTAAAATTTTATCATAGAAAAATTAAAAGGAAAAAATATAAATCTACATCCTTTTTTATCCTTCTATCATTAAGTTTTATTAGGAAAACTTAAAAGAATATTTTAAACTAAAAAAATTAAAACAATTAGAGTCAGGGGGTGAAAACTGATTTCTATAGGTGTATTATAGCATAATGTTAATCCAGGGCTCTAAGGCCCAAATTGCAAGCCCAGAGGGACCTTCTGTAACAATAATTTCCAAAAACTAAACAGGCTTAGGGACAAGGTGGACTTGATCCTGGATATACATCTGATCCAAGAGCCCATGGTCCAAGCAGGATCAAAACCATGTCATTTTTTTCCATCATATGTTTACTATCAATTATTATATAACAAAACAAAATAAAAATTAAAGTGCTCGCATGAAAACATGAGGAAAACGGTGGTGTTTAGAGTGAAGAGGGATATGGTTTAAAATTGGATAACAAGAATTTGTTCTTCTTCAACAAAATCTCGTGGTGGCGTGTTTTTTTCCCTTGTCTCCATTTGTAGCCCAGCAACGCCATGGCTCAAGGCAACTCCGCCTCATTCGCTCGCGACCGACATTACCTCATTTTACTCTCATCTCCGCCATCTGACTCGTCTCAATCACGCTCGACTATGAAGATTCAGTCTATCTACTTCTCCTACATCGGTTCTGTTGGTTTTCGACTCAACTTTGCTTCCTCCGGCTTCGCTCATCTCCGCTTTCTCCTTTCACTGATTCAAACCTCACTCACATCTTCGCTTCACTCTTGATTCACAACCGCTATCTCGGTTTCGTTCTCATCTCTCTTACGATTCCGGATTCGTACAACTCTAAATCGATCGATGAAATCGAAGAAAGAAAGGAAAACACAAAGGATTACCTGCAATGATCTATAGAATGAAGAAGAGAAAGAAAAAGAGGAGGTTCCACAGGTATGAAATTGCTTATGCCTTTCTTCTTGTCCTTGAGCTATCTTTTCCTTCTTCTCCTTCTAATTCCATGATTCTGTGATTCTTGTGGAGCTGTTGTTGTTGTGTTGATTCAAAATCAGAAGGTTGGAGGTGTATGGTGATGATGATGAACGAGTGTGAGGTGTGATGAAGTTTCTACAGAGAGAGAGGGAAAATTGATGAATATTGCAGTAGGTGATGAGGAACGATGATGGAGATTTCAGAGAGACGGAGCAGAGATTTGTGAGGGTCTGATTATGGAGAGAAAACAAAGAGATCAGAGAATGAGGATTGAGGTTATGCGCTAATAGTTGTTGTTTGCAGAGAATAGAAAGAGAAGAAAGTGTGGAGGGGTGAAGGTTCTGCGATGAGATTTCAGAGGGAGGAAGTGCAGAGCATTAAGATGAAGATTTCAGCGTGGATACAGAGGAGAAGAGAGAATTGAGAAGTTGAAGAAGAGAGAAGAAGAAGTCATCTCCGCAAAATCCTTCTGGTGAGCTCTTTTATTTCTGTATCTTTTCCTGTTATGTGAAAATCCGAACCCTCTCCACACTTTCTGTTACGAATCCGTTACATCTCTTTTGGAAGTTTTTGTTAGAAGTTGGTTAGAGGTTGTTAGAGGTTTTTTTTTTGTGAGGCATCTCTCTCCCTGTTATAATCTGTAAAAAGAACAGTTAGGAAAGTTTTTAGTTCTGTTTTGGTTAACCATTTTTTCCAGTTAGGCTTGGTTACAGTTAGGAGTTAAATTTTGTTGCCCGCTGGTAGAGATTAGAAAGTTAGTGAATTGAGTTTTGTATTGATGTCCTGCCTTATATTTTCTTTTGTCTCAGAAATACCATTGCCATTAGACTTGAATTTAACCATATACTGCCTGCCAAACGATGCTTCAGTAACTGCTATTCTTCCAAGAAAACTCAACCACTTGAAGACCATTGCCCAAAAATCTTGCAGGAGTAGTGGGAATTGGAAGGCCATCTATAGTTAAAGTTATTAGTAGAGAAGGTTCAATGTTGGTAAAGGTATGACTCTCATGAACTGCAGCAAGTTTGATTTGCATTCTTGAATTGGATTCCGTAGCATGATTTTAAAGATCACCCACTTGTAGATATGCTCTTAAATGCATTTGGAAGCTTTGATTTTTTACTCAAGTACCACTGTTTTGGTCTGTTACTATCATAGTGATAATGTTGGGTTATTTATACTTTGAGTTTGAATTTGTATTGTTGAAACCGATTTCAATATCGATGTTGAAACTATTTTATTATGATATACGCATAATTATATAGAACATGGCATGAACTCAATTTGTAAAGTCTTTTTCTTTTTGTCTAAAGTTCAAAAGATGCAATGATAACATGAAATGACTTTGTTTGTATTATGCCTTGTGAATCAATATTGACCTAAGTTTTGCAATGATGTAGCTTATTCTTTGAATCTAAAATGAACCATGAATGAACTTGATAAGTATTCAAATTCCAAATTTCAATGACGAACTCAAACCACCTCGTACTTCCATGAACCCTTAGCTTCAATTCTTAAAATCCAAGCTAACTTGTAACTGAAGCAATAAACAATAACAATGACTTGATCACCATATGATTCCACAATAATATCTTTGTATCATAACTCAATGCTTTTGCACATAAATCTTTAAAGGTATCTTGACTTGCGGAGCACACAATATAAATGCCTTAAAGAACTCTTGGAAATGGATGATGAGGCTTGACATGGTGAAGAGGAACCAAACCCTAGCTTAAAGCAATCTCAACTGAAAACCAATATTGAAATCGTAGTTCTTGAAGATTCTCGATCCCCTGCCAAGTTATGTTGTTAATAAATATATGCAATGTTAAATAACCTAATGGAGGTTATGTACATGAGAAAAATGTGAGATGCATAAGTCAAATAAAAGTGAAAGGATACGACAAATTTGGGGTATTACAATTGCCCCTATTTAATCATCTTAAATCTGAAAGTATGATTGGCGCGTGCCTTTTGGAAGTTCGAGATAGAAGATGATTAAATATCAATGCCAAAAATTTATTCTGAAAGAAGGCGTAAGTGTTTATTTATTTTTGTGATATTTGCTGGGGGGAGAATTCTGGTGTTTTTGGTGAGAAAGATTTAAGGTAGACTTTAACATAGCAACGATGCCAATACAAGAAAAAGTAATGACTTGTAACGTGGTGTGATGTCAATACAAGACAAATAAGACTTGTAACGTGGCGTGATGCCGATACAAGGAAATGATAGACTTGTAACGTGGTGTGATGCCAATACAAGGACAAAGAAGAGTTGTAACATGGTGTGACGCCAATACAAGTACAAATAAGACTTTTAACGTGGCATGATGCCAATACAAGGACAAATAAGACTTGTAACGTGGCGTGATGCCAATACAAGGACAAATAAGACTTGTAACATGGCGTGATGCCAATAAAATGACAAAGGATAGACTTGCAATGTGGCGTGATGCTAATACAAGGAAAGATACACTTGTAATGTGGCATGATGCCAATATAATTCAAATAGACTTGTAACATGGCGTGATGCCAATACAAGACAAATAAGACTTGTAATGTGGCGTGATGCCAATACAAGGAAAGATAGACTTGTAACATGGCGTGATTCTAATACAAGAAAAATAAGACTTGTAACATGGAGTGATGCCAATACAAGGAAAGATAGACTTGTAACATAGTGTGATGCCAATACGAGACAAATAATACTTGTAACGTGGCATGATGACAATATAAGGAAAAAGAAGACTTGTGACGTGGCGTGATGCCAATACAAGACAAAGATCAGACTTGTAACGCGTCGTGATGCCAATACAAGGACAAAGAATACTTGTAATGTGGAGTTATGCCAATACAAGGAAATGTTTGGCTACGAAAATACAACGGACAAGATTTACGGAGAACTAGGACTATGGGCGATCTCAGGATTCTACGAAGATACTTATGGACGATCTGTTAAAGAGTTAGGCCTAAGGGCAACCTCAGAATTCTAAAACAAGATCTATAGGGAGAACCTAGCCTACGGGCAATCTCGGGTTATAAGATGAAAACATTGGTTATGACATGACGAGTGAAGATACAAGGGATGACTAACTGTACTGATTTTATTTGGATCTGGAAGGAAAATAGGCATGAGCGTGTATTTAGAGAAGATGACATGAACGAGTGTTTAGGAAAATTACACAGACAAATGTTTAGGAAACTGACACATATGAGTCTTTGGGAAACTGACAGGGACGAGGATTTAGGAAGTACAATATACTGACACTGCTAGTTAAGTATCGTGATGTAATGAAGGACATTAGATGAAGTTTTGGGGAGATATCCTCTTATGGGGATGTATTTTTGTCTTTAAATGATCTAGGTTTTTCGTGTAAGGCACCTGATCTGGCTTATGCTTCGCATGCATGTTTGAATTTCTTTTACCGCAAAGATCCATTATGATGGATCGGCTACGCACTTTTGAAGATGCAATGTTATGCATTGATATCTATTGTACCCCAAAATTTTCCCTCTCTTTTTTCAATACATTTCTCACAAAAGATCTCAAATGCTCAAGGATTTTCAAGGTGTTGATCAAACAAACTCACCTCCTAAGCATTGAGGACACAAATTAGGGTTTTGGTTTTCACAAGGAAATTTGGATCTTTAGTGCCTCAATTGACTTTCATGGTTAATTATAAGTCTCCAAGAATTCTCATACCAAGTTTCAAGTCTTGCATCTCAAAATTGCTTAGTCAGTTGCTCAGATGATTGAAAATTAATTGTATTGGGTAAAAAGTCAACCATGGTCAAAACTACAGTCAAACTTCAAGATTTTTGGCCAACATCAACATTTTAAAGTCATATTAACCAATTGGACAGTAGTTGATCACAATTCCTCAAATAGGGCATTCAAATCATCAAAGGGGCAAAATTGTCAAAATTAGGGTTTTGACTGAGAATGACTGATTATTGACTTTTGACCTAATACATGACCTAATGACTTGAAGCATCATCTTAAAGATTCAAACACAATATCTTGACCTAATTTCATGGTTCAAATCATTTCTCAAGATTAAATGATTGATAGTTGAAATTTGATCAACTGATGAAAAAGTCAACTAACACACCAAAAGTCAAACTTTGACTTTTTGGTCAACATTTAATTTCAAAGATAAAGAATCATCAAGACATTTAAAAATATCAAACTTTATCATCAAGAATCAAAAAGTCAAGAAAATTCCATAAAGAGTCAACATTTTTAATACTTGGAAAAAATTCTAAGTGTTTTAACCTTGATAATTTCACTACTTCATGACAATATTTCACCAAGATATAAGATGATTAAAGGAAAACTTTCAAAATGAAAGTTGTAGACCTTGATGAAATCTACAACTTCGCATTAGAGGGTTTATGTCCAAAAAGTGCTTAGATTTGGAGATATAAGCCCTTGAAGTCATGACATTTTACTAAAACACTTAGTGAAAATTTTGACAAGTTTAGTCAGGATTTTGTCCCAACTTCTTGTAAATTTTTCACCTAGTTCCAAGTTTATTTAGCCAAGATTATCAAAAGTAAGGTTGTAGATAATGTTTCATGCTTTCCAAAATGTCCAAGAACTTGAAGAGATCATGCTTGAGCTAAGAGAATCGAAGACAAGAAGTTGGGCATTCATTCTTGAATTACAAGTCATTTTGATGATGAACACATAACCAAATCTCTAACCTATGTTGCATAATCTTACTTTTCAGGCCTTCTAACTTTAAAATATCACTATAATTAAATGCTTACATAATTGATCAAGCCATTGTCCAAGTGTTTGAACCTTTGTCTAAGCTAATTTTCCATTTTTGGCACAAAGGCAACATTGCCATTCTTGAAAAGTTGCTTTAATCACAAAGTCAACTTGTCTTCAGCCTCTAACTTGCTCCCTCTACACACACTCAACATGCAAAGTCAGATAAACATGTTTAAAGCTTCCAACCACTCTATATAGCCTTGTACCATTCCTTGGAACAATGTTTGTCAAGCTTGCTTAAAAAATAAGTCATGTAGCCATAACCCTACAACTTGCAAACCTGATGTTCTCTTTCCCTCAAACCTTTTCCCATAAATAGAGGTATTGTTTACAAGTCAAGACACGAATTCATAAGCCTTCTAACTCCCTCAAACTCTCTGCAATCAGAATTGGCATAAAAACTTCATTTTGTTGCAAGTTCTGACCATAAACCTCCAACTCTAAATCCCATCGCGCGTTTTCATTTCTAATCTATCACAAAGATTCTATATCACATATTGAAGCTATCCAACGCCTGCAACATAATTGTAACATCATCTTCTTCATCTTCCATAACCAAAAATAGTAACTTGCACATTGACTTCTCCAAAACAACGCAACCACTCTCAATCCAAAGTAAGCATTGCATTATCTTCCTAGAGGTCCAGTGAAGCTATTCAGATCATCACAATACTTCCAAGAGTGCTCAAACTCAAAACACGATTTCCATTTTCAAGGTAAGTTTTCTGAACTTTCAAATCCTTATACAAGCATCATTTGTCTCTGATTTCAAAAGATAAAATGTAAACATCATTTCCATGAAGCTAACCATGTCCTTAGATTTCATTTATATTGCCTGAGTGATGTGAATTTTAAGTTTGAAGTTACAAAAAAATTAGGTTAGAATTTGGTACAAGATAAAATTCGTGTTCATCTTTGATCTATAACTTTAGTTATTTACATGGTTGGAATCATGATGAAATTTTCTAACAAGCTTGATGTTTACAATTTCTGAAATGGTTGAGAAATGAGAAAGTTACAAAATTCTAATATGTAAAAATGGCTTCTGGTGCAAGGAAGAAGAAGATGACATGTTCAGAACATGGTTTATTTTAAATTTATTGGTTGTTGTTCTAATACCGGATGAAACAGCCACCCCAGTGGCAAGAGAGCGCGCGCTAAGGCATTGATCTATATGGACCTGGG